CGCTTTAAATAGCAGTTATGATGTTATTCATTTAATCTCAACGTCCGCGATAAGCATCGCGTTAAATCTCTCTATTTATACCCGATGGAGGATTTGGTAGCTGGACTATTGGAAAATGGGAAAGGATCATGCAGTTGTATGGCAATGAAAATTCAATGCACATCGAGTACGAGGCACACGAGAGCTGAAAGCGACTGTGGTTAAAGTAATAGACCGAGCACGATTCTCACTTTTGCAACGCGGATTTATTATCGGCAGTTTCAACGCCGTTTAAGTGCCATTCATCTTGACGATGGCTGGATCGTAACAGGTGAGAGAAACTAGCGAGAACTCGTTTAGAAGAACGCTCGCTGGCTACTCGATTTCGGACCATAGATTTGGCACAAGGTCCACGATGTGGCTAATTCTTTTCTGTCAATCAAAGATATCTAAAGATAGCTGAAAGCAGATTGTGCAAACCATGACGAGTACAAAGTGCAAGTTGCAAGACGTTTCCTGCTCAAATGAGAAACCCGAAATGAAGAAATGCCTCTTTAAATGAAATTTTTGCGTGCAATTCTCTGCATAAATTTCGATAGATATGTTCACGGTGGAATGTTCGTATATTTAAGTACTTGCAAAGCTCGGTATTTCAACATTATCGAGATCGCTATAAAAGTTAAGCCACCTACGAAACCAGTATTTCTCTTAACATTTCCCTAGACCTGATGTATACTGTATTTACAGATGGCTATGAAAAACGTTGCCAAACACTCGATCTATGCTAGTCGACGAAGTGTGAACAAGCATTTACGACAAACTTGCTTCGAAATATTCCCGTTTGCAATTTTAATAATCGCGCGTTGAATCTTCGAGAACTGCGCGGGATGACATTAATGGTGTCTCTGCCAAATCAGCCAGTTGAACTTCGTACAAAATCGTGTATGGTATTATATTCTTCTCTCGAACATCAGAAATAAGTTTTCTTGGAACATCCACCGAGCCTTTCCTGTGATCGCTGCTCCGATGCGTTTAACAGTGCGTGAAGAATTCTTTGGAGAGCATGCAATTTAACGCTATGATATCGGTCACCTGTGATCAGGAATTTTGACATGAAGCGAATTAAGATGTCTGAGTAATCGTGTCATTAGTAATAAATCCGTAGAGTCTCATCGTCAGCTAATTGTCACTATCGATTCAGGATTTATTCAAAATACATTTAATTCATCACTCGTTGAAAAATTTTGGGTTCATAAACATTCGCAGGTATGGAGGATTCTAATGTCATGAGTGATAGGCATCATGATAGATTCATAGTTTATTATAGGGGGTTGCAAATTAGCTCTGTCGACTCGGTACAACTTTAACTTGGTACAAGTTAAGAAAAAAATGTAGCACAATTACGTGGAAACATAAGTAATTAGTGGTCCGAGTTATATGTAAATTGCGTCACGTACCTGAATCCGGCGTGATCCAGAGTGCGAAAAAGGAGCAATTCTGGCGAATAACAGCTTGCAGGAAACAGCTAATCGGATATCACGGCCAATAAGCAACGTTGTACGATATCCTGTTAATGACTGGTGCCTTTTTGCACCAGATTAGGGGAAAGATTTCAGCGGAAAAGAAACGAGTTCACGAGCGTGAAATTTCTCCTCGATCGACTCGATTGCAACCTCGTTATCTATTTATTTGACATAAATACTCGTGGTGTTCGATCGGAATTAAACGCCATAAATCTGTCGACTTAATTCGTTTGTGATTTTCATAGATTCCGAATTGCGTATCTTTCTCCTTACCTTCGATTGCACTTTTTAATCTCTTCTCGATAGACCTTCCTAGATCTTCGTTAATAAGCACGATAGGATCACTTGTACGGTTCGATGTTCAAGATGGAACGTTGTTATGGGGATAATGATAGAGCTAGTGTTCACCTTCGAGATAACGGTTTCATCGTGAGTGTTTCTTCAATGACGATCTCATACTTCGTAAAGCTGTCCTACAAGCAGGAGTTTCGATGGTTAGGATAGTCTACAGAGCTATCTGGCATCCTTTAAAGTGGAATGCGATAACTTCTCACGATTTAATTGTAAAATTGAGAAATTATCTACTGGGAAGGCATTTAATTTTAGTTAGTATGCGCAGAGTATCAGAAAAAGGAAAATATATATTTAATTTTATAATTCATATATTTTATAGATTAAAAGCATCCTTTTGATTTGGACGTAATTGTAAGTCACTGTGAAAGATCAGGATGGAGGAAGAGATAGAAAATGCATTTTAAAATAGATGTTAAATTCCAGTGCTATTATTTTTGAACTATTATTCGTATGAGTTCGTAATGAGTATAATTTTATAATTTATGTATTTGGTAAATTAAAGCAAAAACTTGATTTGAATGTAATTATAAATCACAAATACGAGTGCTATTATTTTTCAATTATTCTTCGTTTGAGTTCGTAACGAGTACAATATTTTACGAGTTTCTAGTTCTAGTGCAAGGCATTGAGTTGCATCTGCAACGACAGACAGGTCCTCGGTGAAATACTCGAATGGTTTCCACGATCTTTTTTAACCCCTTGACTACGGCAGATTTTGATACGCAACGGCCGTATCATACGGCAGGAATTGAGTTACGATATGCGCCATTTTTGTGAAAACAAGCGCCCTCCGTGTCAGAAAGCTAAACTACACCGAGCGCCTATAGACGCCCTCCGTATCGCAAACGCAAAATTTCTAAACGCCTATAGGCGCCCACAGTAGCGAAGGGGTTAAATATAAAACTAATAAAATTATTTCGTTCCCTTGAAAGGACATTAAACCAATTACCCAACGCATAAATATTGCAATGCTGGTCTCGGGATGCACGGTTGATTTCGTTAATGAAAGGTTGGTCATGGAGTCGCCTCTGATCCCTCACGTGAACGATTACCGATCACGGTAATCGTGTCAGTTCTCCCTTTCCTTTCTTTTCCCCGATGAAAATTCCACGCCCTCCCTCTCTGCTGTATTCACCCATAAATCAAATCGAAAATCCCTTATCTCTAACTGCGAATATTACCGAGCCTCTGTTAGCCAGAAACTAGCCATTCACTCGTCGATGGTAAAATTTGTAAGCCTAGTAAAAGCGATCGGGGCCAAACCGTTTACGTTTTAGCATCGTTTCTGGCTCCGAAGAGAGTAGAACAACGAGTGCGAAATGTGTCCTTGCTGAAACTGCAATTATCGTCACGATCCTCTAGAACAGGTTCGAGAAAAGGAGAATTCGTCCTGTTCTATTCTACTCGCGGCGAGAGGAAAAGGCTGGACGTAATTTTACGAGCGATCGTAAAGTTGCATTTGAACGGGAGTTTCGAACGATCGCTTAAGTCGACTATCAAATCTTTCTACGAGCTGTGGCCAGACATCCGACGGGTTTACCGGCTGGGAGCTGCTAATCTTGAAATCTTATACCAGCGCGGGCTAACGGGTAGTAATGAATGAGGGTTTAAAGGAAAGTAGGTATCTCAACTTCTTCGGCTCGTAACTGCTGCACGGACAGAAATGTCTGGCCTAGAAATAGATGAAAAGGAGATCGGGGACAAAAAATGGCACGATTTTTTTTACATATGGTGTAACATTGCCATTGGGCAAACTGCTTAAACATTGTCATTAAAGGCTGCGAAATCGAGCGTGCCACCGTTTTCCCCGCTTCGTCGCTGTGCACCGAATCGCGCGAAGTGGAATCGGAACCGGTTCATACGTAGATTTCAGGTGGGAATGTAGATTTGTGCAATCGGTCGATCCCGCAAGCCGCTTGCGCAACCAGACACCACGAAATCAACTAATCAACGCAGAAAATTGAAATTGCCCGGTTAAATATCTCTTGCTGTTCTTCCTTTGATCGATGTTTCGCGATAATGAAAGTTGTAAGGTTCCCTCGATCTTCGTGTAGTGGCTTTCTCTATGCTGTAAACGAGAAAATGAACGAGGAGTATACCCCTTGGAAATTGTTGGATTATATTTTCAGTGTAAAGTCGAAGGGTTCGATTTAAAGTTATTCGTTGTCGAATTGTGCTTGTTAATAATGGAAACGAATTATTTCGAGCGTTTAAAAAGTTATGTCATTTTTGTTTGTTTCAGTCTCGGGTTTCTAATGAACGCAAGCACCATACCTCACGTCGACAGAATGTCAAACATCTACAACAACTCGGCGGTTCGATTTTACCATCATATATTCCACGACCTCTCCGGTAAGAATGATATAAATTATTTAAATGAGGATACTATCAGTTGGTAATATTAAATTCTATTTTTCAGATCCTCGGACAAGGGAGTGGTTCCTCATACCATCGCCAGTACCTGGTGCTAGTATCTTAATCGGTTATTTGTATTTCGTCCTATCATGGGGGCCGAGGCACATGCAGCACAGGAAACCGTACCAATTGAAGAACATTCTAGTCCTTTACAACTTCCTGCAAGTCCTACTCAGCACCTGGCTGTTCTACGAAGGCCTGGACGCGGCTTGGCTTCGAAAGTATAGCTGGAAATGTCAGCCTGTCGATTTTTCTAATACACCAGAAGCCCTCAGGGTATCCTCACTGCTTCTACATTGTCCATAGCATGCAATAATCTCTGTTCGATTTCTTTCATGAATTGTAACAGATATGAATATGTTCTAGATCGCCAAAGGCGTGTACATTTATTTTCTGGCGAAGATTTCGGAACTTCTGGACACGTTGTTTTTCGTGCTAAGGAAGAAAGAGAGTCAAATCACGTTCCTCCATCTGTATCATCATACCGTGATGCCAATGGTCTCATGGGGCGCCACCAAGTATTATCCGGGAGGACACGGTACTTTCATAGGTATGTATATAGTATGTATGTAGTCTACGTTTGCTTAATACTAGCATTGCAACCTCGTCCTCGATTCAATAATATTTGTGTCGTTCTTTTCCAGGCGTCATTAACAGCTTCGTGCACATAATCATGTACACGTATTATTTGCTAGCGGCCTTACTACCTCAATATCAGAAGTACCTGTGGTGGAAAAAGTATATTACGACTCTTCAGATGGTAAACGTATTTCCTTTGTAATAAATATAGTATCGTTGGTACGAATCGCTATATAACGACTCATCTTTACGTTGAACAGGGTCAGTTCTGCCTGGCATTCTTGCACAGTTGTCAGCTGCTGTTTTACGACTGCGACTATCCCAAATGGTCTCTCATTCTCATTCTGCCAAACGCGGTATTCTTCTACTTCTTATTCGCCGATTTCTACAGTAACGCGTACGAAGCTGATAAGAAGCATTCGAAATCGATAGAAGGCAAGGAGAACGGAGTCGCGAAGAAAGTGGCAAATGGGAACATGTACAACGGAAAAGGGAAAACGGACTAGTCTGGGACTGAAGGAAAAAGATACAAATGGCAAAAGATGGGAATTTTACCAGAATATTCATGTGTCGCTGTTAGCTTTTCGTTTAACGTGTCGAAAGTGGAACGTCGAAGGATCGGTAAAGAAACGACGATGCGTCACTTGGAATGTCTCAATGGATTTAGGTGACTGTGCTACTGGTACTTCGACGTCGATGGCTCCGTGGATCATACGATTGCACTTTTGACAACCAAGCTTTCTTCAGAATTTTCTACGCTTCCACCAGGAAAGCTGGAGAGACGAATTTGTTTCTTCTTATGTTGCTTATCCAAGTGGCGACGGAGGATATATGGTTACAGATGTCTATCGTTTCTCCTTGACTCCATGCAACGAAAAATCACAAGAATCTTTGACTGAACGCGTCAATTAAGCCCGTAACTGTTTAAGAATGTAGGTTTAGATCGATGGCGACGATAAAAATTTAGGAAGAATATACGTGCGAGTACTGTTTAAATTAGTATAGAATATATCTGATGATCAACTTGGATAAAGTTTGGTCTTGTAGATCTGGAATCACGAGTATTTTTGTCACAAATTGCATATAACTGAAGGCAGGAACCTAAAGATTTCAATATAGAAATACTTCCAATAGAGCTCTTTATTAAGTCTCCGGTTAGACAATAAATTGAGGCAAAAATTGAAGATTGTTCTTCCAAAAGCTTTAAACTACCAGATAGTTAGAAACGAGGTTAATATTAACTAGCATTTAAATGTCGGCTGGATCTCGATCATCTGAATTTCTAAGACTACCTAAATAGCAATCTTAAATTTAAAGTAACATTTAAAGGCTGTTCTACCAACTTTTTCATTACTCGACTTTCCACCGTTAAATCCTACTTTTCTTGAAAGGCCATTATATTTATTGATTTACGAAGCGCATTTTACGACGAAGGATTTCATAGAAGAAATTAAATAGGTGTTCCACTTCAAGTGCACTCGAGGCAAATAATCGAGAGTTTACGTCGATTATTGTCAATTAGTTATTAATCGCAGTTACGTCCCGTTTTTCACAATTACGCAAAGCAAGTAAGAGTCACCGATTATAGGTCAACTTTTTTTCGCCTGCGCATGATAAAACGATTTTATAAATGAAACGTATTGTATTTTCGAATCCCTACGATGTACCGAGTTCCAGCTATGTACCTGTTCAAGTGTTACGACTTGCTCCACTTTTTATCGATAGATTCTTAACGGTCAATTTTTTAAGATCAATTTGTCATGGTTTCAGGTGTAAAATTGTTGAACAAAATTCGAATTATGTTAGAGATCTCTGTTTATCTTGTATGCGCTTTGTCTAACTCTCACGCTTGGAATCCAGCTGGAAAGAGCATCTACTTTTCAACTTACAAACGAACGGAATTTGTATCAAATGTCAAATCTGTTTGGTTTCGATCTTCGTGGATTCTTAACAGACGATAATTAAAAAAGTTTGTTCACGGTTAATTATCAGCAAGACGTTAATGACTGATAACTTGGAAACCATTTGCGGTAGGAGGAAGAAAGCCTAGGAAATATGTCACGTTGTATACATATGATTTAACGAGAACGAATAATCGAATAATTCAGTCCAAAGAATATGGCTTTAAGCATACCTTGCGAGCTCTTTCGCAGAAAAATATTCGTTTTATGGTAGAAATTGATTGTCAAAGTTTGTAGAATTTTACAAAGTTTCCAATTGTAATTCCGAAATGGTTACTCGTCTTCTATTTATTTCTTTCCACGGTGTTTCCTTTGCGACGCATTTCGCAAGCTACATTCACACGTAAAAGGTGAACCTATCGCGTGTCTCCTAGTTCTAAACGCGAACAAATCATGGTGTGTAAATAGCGGCAATTGTCGGTTGCGTGGTGTTTCGAACGACGAACCAGCTTTTCGCAGAAGATACGCTCTTTGCTAGAGATTCGATTCGTCGATCGGATCCAAACAAGATCACCGGTTATATCGCGATCCTTGTATCATATCGGTTGGCATGTGTAGGGTAGCATAGAATGAAGTTACGATTACTAAAGTTTTCTTTATCTTTCGTTACTCATTTGTGTTTATATATTTTTTTAACTTAGCTGTATCGTTTATTATTTACTGTACAAAATACTTGAAGAAAGAAAATCTTTCAAGAAGAATTAATCGGTTGTTGATCAACTTTATTGAATCCTATTTGCAAGAGGATTAGAACCCGATATTTATTTACCATTCTGAATAAAGGAAACAGTTAGTCGGAGAACGGAAGAGAAGAACGGGAAGAAGGAAAGAGAGCGCACCTCGGTCCATCGAGAGGTGCTCGAATAAATAATAACGGTGACGTGTATTTACATATTTTAACTGTGATCAATCTCTATAAATCATGCGGAATATTAACACGTGTCACGATTGACGACTATCTTATTGCGTTACTAACCGTCAAACGTGACAGATGTACGTTCCATCGAATTCGTTGATTCGCTCGAAACTCGAGAAATAAATTGTTAAAATTTTCGAGCGAATCAACAAGATACATTTTTCTTTTCTTTTTTAGACACATCGTGAGTCGATTTCTAATTTTTCACGCTTCAAGCATGTGCGAGTACACAATGATTTTACATGTTTACGGAAGTCGACTCACGATGCGTTCACAAAGCGTGTACGAATTCATCAACCTTTGTTTACAAAAAGTCATTCTCGATAAAACATCATATCCTTCCGAATTAACGCTGAGGTAATTCCAAATTGGATCACACATCGATGCGAAGTTGGTGAAAATTAAAAAGACTACTTTAATACTAAACCCACCATGGCCAGTCAAATGATATGGATAAAACGGTTTGTATTCAATGTCAACGAAAGGGATAGATGTTGAAAAATTGATTATTTATATATCACGTGAAAAGTTGCAAAGTCTTGCGAAGAAAGCGATAGCTTGAAAGCGATAGACCTTGGTAGGTTTAGCGTTAATATAAAATCACGTAATCGAGATGTAAAGACGAAAAATTTCACGAGTAAAATTTCGACAAATTTTCTTCTGTCAGAAATTCGTCGAAGACACGATTGTTCAGAACGGAAGTAACAAACGATGGTAATCTCGTCTGCGAAAGAAGAAACAGTTACCGTTGTCCGGTACACTCGCATGGCAGTGGTCTAAAAGGCATGATTCCCCCTGAGTTCGTATTTTCAGATCTTAGCCCACTTCGTTTGACAGCGAACGCCTTTGGGGATTTGGGTTTGGTCAAGACTTCGTTGTCCCTCTCCGTGCACGGATCGCCGCTGGACCTATTGGCCTAGATCTGGAAAAAGTCCGTTATTCGTCGAGATCTTAAGTCAGATTCATCGAAATCGTCTCGTGCAAACGGAACACGACCTCCACTCCCTTTAGCCTTAATTGGAGCTGCTTCCTAGTGTCTTCCATCGCCTCTTGGCATACTATGCCTTTATTACAACCTTTGTTTCACCTTTTATTCTCAACTTTTTCTCTAATGATCTTGTTTAATTTTTCTCTTTTTAGAAAAATTTCCTTTCTAGGACGAGTGGTATCTGATATTTGTTCGATCGAGGTGCCAATGACAGCGGCGTTGGGTTGATGAATTTGGTAAATATTACACTTTCTTTTTTTTATAGGCTTTTCGGTAAAAGTCACTGAACAGGTAGATGAAGATCACCACGTTGGTCATGAAGAAATACGTGAGAGCTTTTGGCACCTTGCAATCCATCGCGAGGATCATCATTAAGTATCCGAGCATAATTACGAATTGTATCTGGCATGAAGAATAAATACTTCAATGAGAGTGTTAATTTCTAGAAGAGTGTTAAAGTGTCGTTTGGAGAAAATATTACCAGCTGAATCCAGGTCATGTATTTCTTCCACCACAGGTATTTCCTGTATTCAGGGCCCAGAGCTGCGATCAGGTAGTACGAATACATGACAATGTGCACGAAGGAATTCAAAAAACCAAGTAGAGCACCTTGCTCTCCGGGCAGAAACTTGAGATAACACCACGAGAATACCGAGGTCATCGTATGGTGGTAAACGTGCAGAAAGGTGACCTGATTTTGCTTCTTTCGGAGAACGAAGAACACCTTTGAAAGAATGAAATTAAAAATTTCCTGTATGTTTTACACTTGACACAGAGCTGTCTATTGAAACGCTTACCGTGTCCAGAAGCTCAACGAGTTTAGCGATGAAATACCACCAAGCTGCTTTCGTTAGCTGTCTCACGTAAAATATGCGTGGTATAATGCGAGAGAAAGATTTCAACACTGATTTACTAGAGTTTCACTTACTTTTCTATCAACTTACCGCGGCTTGGACGTTCAAGTCCGTAGGTGTTCGATTCGAGTTGTTGCATTTAGGGGAAAACATGAGCAGTCCTACACCCGGTTCCAATGACTGTTCAAATAAGTTTCAACGGGGCACGTGAAAAATAATTAGCAAGATATGTAAAACAAATAACTTGAATTATTGTGATGAACATATGCATATCAGCCACGTCGATGATCCTTACCTTAAGCGTCAACCAAATACTGAAAATCACTTGAAGCGCGTTGTAAGCGATCAAGAGGGAGTTCAATTGGAAAGCTGGCCTCTTTTCCATCATTTTCGGTCCAACTTTCAAAACGAACGCCAAGTAGGTCCCTACGATGCACAGCATTGGACCAGGGGAGCTCATCATGGGCCAAGAATCCACCATGATTTCTGAAAAATATAGTTAGCGTAAATCCCTTACCGACCGTCCAGAATATACGAAAGTATCTCTCCTATTTATCATCTAAATTCTTTTTCTTCATACTAAAGCATTCGAATCCTTCGAATTCGAGTCCGAAAGCTGAATTTGCATAAATTAGCATTGCCATTGACTCGAAATTTTTCAGAAAATGAAACTGCTTCACTATGTTACGCACAAGATAAGTTACATTGACCTCGATGAATCGAACAGCGTGACGCGAAAAGAATTCTATTTACGTCTTTCAAATTTGACGTTATCTTCCTGCTAGACGATGTTCACGCAATTACCTTTGTTGGCCTCCAGAATTTCATTGTAGTTGTTGACTACCAGACGAATTAGATTTGACATGCTGGCTAATTTGCGTATCCTCTCTCAAACGCGCTGTGGATGCAGAAAAATTCGTTTATCGGCAAAGAGAAGGGGAACTGATGAACAATTGTAAAGGAAAATTTAGATGAACTTGATGGAAAACATAACGTGACTTAACCAACTTTTTCATGAACGAAATGTCATTTGCAAATCCATGGGATTGAAATCGGATCAAACTTCACACCTTTCGTGTGTTTAAGTAGAATAAGACTTCACCTCGAATCTTCAGGATTTCCTCATAAATCTTCTACGTGATAAGTCAGGATCTTTTCTCGTTGGATCGAATGCTGCGTTGGAGTCACTTGCACCCGATGAGTGCTTCCTCTTGGCCTCTTACACCGATTATTTGCCAAAGTCCCTTTAAGAGCGTCCGCTCGAGAGGAGTAGATGATGTAGGAGAAGCCGCAAACCAAAAACTGATCATCTGTCGACGAAAGTAGCCACCAGGATGACCAAAACCTCAATCCTCTTTGTCTGCCCCTCCACGAGGTTCGAATACCCTGTAAAATCGAGACTTCCGTTGCTCGATGGGGGAGCAGCTCGGCGAAAGAGGTAGGGATAAAAGACTAGGTCGTGAAACAAGTAAATGTGAATCATAATGAGACCTGTGCAACATGTTTCTATTGAACTGTTAAGTAAAGTTTTAGATCAGCTTGTTGTTCGATTAGGGGGTGGGGAAAAGTTTCACCCCACATTTTGTAATTAGCAAAAGAAAACATGGTTTCCAATTCTTGGATGGAGTACTAATGTTGCCGGATTGAGACTTTATGTTCATTGTATCTGCGTTCGAAACTGTAGTGTGAATTTTCGAACGCGATTAGTGCATGGAGATAACGATTGGAGGTATAACGATATACAAGAAATATCTAAGATGGACCAACTGCGAGGTAGAGACTCGGAGAGTTATCAAAAAGTCAAAAGTAAAGGTCACAGGAACCTGGACGTTCGTTTGCGGCATGACTATTTGCGAAATTGGCGAACGATTTGTTTGCCCGGAATAAAGAGACGTGAATCGGCACAGTAAAGAAAATGACTCGGAGTGTGAGATCGTGTTTGCCCTGTTAAACTTTTCATAGACGTGACACCATCGATTGTTGCGCAGCAGAGGTGACTTAATTTTGCGACTATTACGACAGTTCAATATTTGCATCGAATCACGATACTCGTCGTCGGGTAAACGTGATAAATGCGTTGACGTTTCAGCAAATCTGCCGATTTGATGTGGTTAAATATATTTTGCATCCAACTCGCCATTAACCGTGACTCCTCTCAGATTTGTTAACTGGTTACCAATATTTGTTATTAACAGAGTCGATCAGCATAATTAAAGACGTTACCTATTTCTTTGCGAAATGTGTTTCGCATCCACATCGCGCGTTACATTCTGAGGTGCTCTTCTTCATAGATGTAATTCCCCGTGGTAATAAAACTGCAAGTAGAACGAACGGCAAATATATCCACGCCTTCCTTAATAGTGGCCTGGTTTTACCATTAGAGATCACGTCGTCGTAAATCAATAATTTTTAAATAGTATACGGATATACAGGTACGCGTCAATGCCTCGTAAATCGCTATCCTGAATGTTTCTTCGGCGGCTTGTAATGGCGGTCCGGCCAATGGCGCTAACGCGTTTGCAAACGCATTACGAACAAAATCATTACAAACTCCTTACAGGGGTTTTCTAATGTAGGTACGACGAAGTAAGCCAACGAGACTGTTCAAGATATACAAGAAGTTCACGAAACGGGGTCAAAACATACAGAGGTTTTGCAAATCAATATCCCAACCGGAATTCCTGAAAGACAATGTCAATAATTATGTCGGTACGTGAAAGGAAAAGAAGAAATAAATTCAGTCGCAAAGTGATTTGTATGCGTTGAAATTTTCACTCGGGTAATATTTACTTTATCGTACAATAATATCGATTATCCATTGATCTAGCTGGATGCTGAGCACATGTATACGTAATGTACGTCGATAACGCATTTCAGGTTTCAACAGTCGATCCATTTCTAGTTATATTCCATTTTTGACAGTTTCACTGCATCTCGTCATCGAATTTACTTTTAACCTACGTATGTATGTCAGAATCGCATTAAGTTCCATTCATCTTGGCGGTATTTCGTAAGTAGTCGAGAAATGCTAACGGAACAACACTTTCCAATGTCAAAAACACCACTTTCCAATGTAACTGTTATCCATGATGAATAACTATTACTTGTGCCCGCAGTCGTAAGATAAAAATGTTTCGGTGCGAAGAAATTCCGAAATCGACTCATAGGTGGTGCATAGAGCGATGTTGTGCCGAGAGGGTAGAGACGAAAATGGCTGCATAGTAAGAAGATCGTCGTTGAACGCGAGGATGAAAGTTTCTATTTATCAGTTATGTAATGAGCGGTGCGCGATCTGTCGGAAGGAGTAGGTCAGAGAAATAAAAACGGAATTTCTTTCCACTTTTAGACACGATTAATTTACCTAAAACTGAATGGTAATGGTAAAGTCACGCATCGATAAAAACCATTGTTGTCTTCGCAGCCCAGAGCGCTGGCACTTTTGGATACAAAATAGAAGAAGCGCGATCGCGCCTCTTGGCACCCAAACGGTAAGCGATATAACGGCACTAGCTTCCTAAAACTCTTGTCACGTGCCTTTTTTATCTCGTCTCTCGACGCAGTTTTACCTTTCGCCTGGACCATCCGTTAAAATGTCAGGAAAGTAGGTCAACTTATTCGAACGGGTCCTAACTCGATTTCGCATTTGTTTTTATTAATTTCCGTATTTTTTGTTTAAATAGGTTAGGATGTCACAGAGATTAGAGTAAAGCGCGTGGTCACTGTTAGAAAATGATTTAGTGACAGATTTCGATCGTTACCCTTTTGATATAGTGTATGCTCGAGAGAAGACAATTGTACGTGATCGATTTTGATCATTGAGTCGCATGAAGTTGATGCAATGTGAACATCGTACGGATATTGCCTTGTGAGACGAGTTTATTTCTTTTCTAGGATTTCCTTCGTGGCACGTGTTTATGAAAAGTTGATTGCTCGTGAAAGGCAACAATTAAGAACGATCCAGATCGAGTTTCGGATTGAAGCGTGCCGCTCCATGTTCCAGATGCTCCGAATTTTAAATGACTGACGGTGATATAGATCCTATCTCATTTAAACACAAGGAATGGTATGTGGGCCGTAGTAAATATACTTGCGGCTAGTGAAATAAATTTATATAGAGAAATCGATGTAAATCATCGTTTTCTTTTCAAACATCTGCCACGTTTACTTATTACGCTTAAAATTAAATTATTGTGCAAGATGTCTTTTTCGATTTCGTGTAACCTCGTATAACCTCAAATTCACGTGTCCATGCTTAAGACCTTTAAGCAAACGTTCCTGAATAACATCAAGTAACCTTGAATGAACCTCGTGTATTTATTTACAACACTGATTGATTACAAGTGATCGATTAGTGACAACGCTCGCGCGCGCGCGCATCGTGGTCATTAGGTTGTCGCTTCCGAGAGGAAAGAATTTGCTTCCAGCGCTCTAACGTTATGCGTCGTCATTCACTTATTTCTATTACCTTTAAAACACAGTAGATTATCGCATGAAATACGCAGGTATCCGTTAGTGTTCGCAATCGCCATGGTTTGGCAAAGGTGTATAAGTAGCGAGAGATGACTAGTGAACTTAAATACAAAGATGAAATAGAGAATAAGTATTCCGCTATTTTTAACATTAAAACTACCATTGATTTGAGATTTTTTTTTCCAGTTAAAGTATGCAGTTACTTTTGATAAAATTATCGTTGACTTATGTTGAGATGGTAACGTAATATATCTATTTATTTTTGTTATACCGCTTGTTATTATTATTATTGTTATTATTATTATCCTTGCATACTATATTTAAATGCACATTACAGGTCAGTAGCTCTAATGTTAAAACAACAAGATTCTGAGTTTCGATACGCATGATCTGTCTTATCTACGAGGGGATGCTTTGAAAGCCACTTGAATGACTTTCACCGGATGCTCCAACAGCAATGAACGCGTTTAAAGGGAATTTTATGTGTTCCCATCAATTTTATATCGTAAAGGAGTGATATGATTATTGGGAATTTCCATCACATCCTGATCGCCTGTGTCTATGAGAGAGGGAGATTACGATCGGGTCCACCATATTTTATTGTTCATGCTGATATAACCTCTATTGCGGACCTAGATTAAATTTACGTCTAAATTTTTGCGTTACTTGACTGTCAAAGATATATATGAAATATCCAAAATATTGATAAGGGTTGAAAACGTAAATTTCTGGTATAAGTATCTTATGCCTTACATGCCGGGAAGGGAGCGAGATGTCCAAATGTGTGAGGTTCTAACACGTGGAACATTGCTATTGACTCTTTAACTTCCCGTTCGAAATGTCCGTTGTGACACCGTTCGAGCTGCTTTTTTGCCTTTTGATGTATACCCTGTAGTAGAAATCGCCGAACAAAGCGATCATAAAGAAATTCTGTGGTATCATCACTGTTGCGGTCCATTTGGGGAAACCACAGTCCTCCGACCAAACCAAGAGTATAAAGTGGAACAATATTAGACAGAATTGAGTGATCTGAAGTTGTGTCACGTACTTCTTCCACCAGGGTTTGCTTATTTTTAGCGAAGTGGCCAGGTAGTAGCTATACATTACTATGTGGACGAAACAGTTTATAGTACCTACGACAACAGACACATTCGATCATCGCAGAAGGCTTTTCCAACATTTATTTTTTAATAATTATATTCCAAGGGAGAAGAAAGTATCAAGCTACTTACCTAGAAAGGTGATATGACCTCCAGCCAAAAACTTGGTACATGCCCACGTGCCAATGGCCATGCCTGTGTGATGATAAACATGAAGGAACGATATTTGTTCTTCCTTTTTTCGAAGAACAAAGAAAACCGTGTCTAGCAGGTCTATGAGCTTCACTATGAAGTATAACCAAACGACCCAAGATATCTGCGTTTCAAGTAATGCATTGGTTCAGTCTCCGAGGAACGGTGAGGATAGAACGTAATTAGGACAGAATGGAAATCTAAGTGTATATACCTCGAGCGCACGAGGAGTATAGGAATAGTCCACTGGTTCGCAGTAAAAACTATAGTGGTACAGCCAGGCCAAATCCAGTGCCTGAAATTACAAATATAAAATGAACTTTTTCCAATTGCTGTATTCAATGAGCTGCATTTAGAAGTTTATAATAGGTATTTGACATTTCAGAAAAAATGTCTACTTGTGTTACCTTATAGAATACGTATGAACATAATACTATCTGTATCAGATTATATATCTGCATGACGACGTGTAAATCGAAAGGTTTCCTATTCTTCATGATGTTAGGTCCCAATTCGTGGATGAAGTACAGGTAAAACGCTACTATACTCAAGCAACCCCATGGTGAACCGATGAGGAAGTAGTCTTGCGTTCGCGGATCTTTCGGAGACAAAAACAACTCACGTAACAAACTTGCACCTTTTAACTTATGTAAAACAGATGAATGTTTTGGTACCTGCTAGTTCTTCGTTAATGTAACGATAACCGTGATAGATTCGCCGTATTAATGTCGCCATGTTGGTGTAACTCGACAGCTATTAGGATTCGAGCGTTTCTCACAAACGTAGGATTAGCGTCTTTCATAAGATTGTAACAGAGATTGTAGGTTCTTGATAATATTGGTTCGACTAATAGTAATGGAAGTGTCGAACCTAGTCTCTATTTATCAAGCTTCGCGTATCATCGGCAATGTACGAAAGAAGAAAAATAGAGAATCACACACAATAAGGAATTTAAAATGAAACGAGAGCTCCGTTGAATTTTGCTAAGCCGAGGATCCACAAATCAAATAACTTGCTGTCGATCGTCAAAGTCACTATTCGGAGTCCTCTGCACCCAACTAATCCCGGTGAAAAGTCCAAGCAGACTGTTGAAAGTGATTTCTCCAGTCATAAACACTCTTGAACCATACAACGATTGTATTTTAATGAATCGTTGGAATTGAAACAAAGCTGGCGAACGCTACATATTGCCGCCTAGAGTCCAACTTCTTTGACCTCTTTCGTTCGAGGGTGTACGACCTTACAGCAAACTGAATAGCACCTATATTATTTTCCAATCGTAGAGGAATCTAATTTACTATTCTAACTATTATTCTAACAATCATTGTTAAGTTTCATTTTGGTGTAAAAACATTTTAATGAAAATTTCGACCATCGACTGGAATTCCACGTTGCGTTACTCCATCGCGTCATTTATTATAGAACGTTTATAATTATTTACAATTTTCTTTCACGTTTTATATTTCGAATTATGTAATTCGACGCACAAAGAAGTTCTATATCAAATTACGTCAATGCGAATATTGAAAGTAGGTCATTATTCCAAGTCTCTTTTTGTTTTTTACTGCTCCCTTTTTAACAGCATTACGAAAACGGAGGAAGCAAATGGTACGTTTAATAGTTAGCAAGAAACGCAATCGCATATGCATAATTGTCCAATGGCAGTACATTGCAGGTGGTACAAGCGAATCGCGAAATTGCCGCAATCGTGGCAGACGTCCGGAACAGAATATGCAAACAGTCTCGCAGCTATGAAACTTTGCATCATTTTGCAATACTAGACACTTCTCGAACTCTTGATAGCTGCAAAAATCCGTCCTGAAATTGTTTGATTATAAATATTGCCTTTTCTAACCTATGCTAGAGAAAAATAAGAAATAGTCTAGTTATCAATTGAAACATTGTATTCGGTCTGTTCGATTAAAAGGTGTTCCTCAAAATTCGTTGAAAAATGGATTTATTCAAGCTTTAAAATGCGTAGGCATATATAGTATGCTTTGAACTAAAATACAATTATATTATTAATACATCCAGTCATCAGCATCAACGATGACGGATTGACATGTCCGAGGCATACTTTCCGACAAGTTGATGGCATATTCTTGCGGTAGGGATCTTCAAATTCAACAATGTCTTTCCGTAAATTCCAGTCTTCGTCTTTTTCCATGAACCAATATTTGGCAGATGGCTGTAATGCATTTTTATATATTTTAAACATTTTTTCGGCGTCTAAATTATCTTCAAAAGTGTGCAGAATGTCGTCTTCTATTTCATACCTCACCACCCACTTTCTGACTAATGTTTCTGATTTGCCTGTATATTCAGCAGCGACAGAATGTGATATTTTCGGCCCTTTTTGGGTGATTACAGAATAACGCTGCTTCAAGACGCGATGAATATGCAGCTCTCATGATACCTTTCCAAATAATGCTTATAGACTTTGTCGTTTAGAATCAGAAACTCGGAGAAAACTGAATATTTTTCTCTAAAACGTTCAGAGGAAAGCTATCCTTTACTGGATGCCACAAAAATTAAGTGGATAGCGATTGACTAAGTGTGTGTAAAGCCCAACACATTATTATCGGACAGACTGTGCACAGAAAAAAGTGTGTTTAATCTATCAATTATTTGACATTTGCATACAATAAGAGAAGTCATTGACCGTAGAAGTTTATAACGTCGCCACGTATTTTGAGAAAAGTAACGTAATCCAAATTTTATTGCAATGTTATCAACACTTTTGATGACAAATTTTATTGCAATTTAAGAGATTACGAATTTTCGTCTATTACCTTTTTTTCACGAATGACAGTTTATATTCATACGTTTATAGAGATGTTTTAATATAAGAATTACTTGCTAGGTATGTGTACCTGCACCCAGTGTACATAAGTAAGAGTAATCAGTATTACGTTAAAACTAAATAAATTGGTAAAGTATAAATAATTATATTTCTATGTTAATAATAGCCATTATTAATTTTAGTAAAAGCAGCCGAATGTCTTGGGTAGTTACAAAAGGAGGAAATCTGGGATCAGCTATTTATACTAGTTTGGTATGAATCAAGTAATAAAGTAGTACTCTAAAAGTAAATATATATATATATAATATCTGTAATAAATAAAGATCAATATTATTCTTCTAGGAACAACATGCCTTCAACAACTATAAAAATAAAAAGTCCCGAATCATCCATTTTGATCAGTTTGATAAGTGAACATCAATGAGGTATCCATATCTGAGAATGACGTACTATTGTAAATCCAGCACAACAAATTCGTTTCCATTTTTAAGGCCCGTCGAAAGAAAAGTTGAAGTATCATATCGCTTTAATTGAATACAATAAAAAAAAACTAACTTTCTTGTCTGTTGTTACATTAACAATATCTTTTTCTTCGTGTCACCGTGACATGGAAGTTGTTTTTAATCGATATGATATTTCAATCGATCGAATGCGCGCGTAACAGGTCACTTTTGACGTATCTCATTTTGTCTGTATATTGTCAGTAGACAATTAATACGATGGAGAAACTACGATCGGAACATCGATTGACGTCGACGTTCTAGACAATTGTCGAAAACTCTAATAAAACGTCACCGATGAAAGTCTATTATGCATAATCCATTTCACTTGCTAATCAGCTGCGTAAAGAATCAGTAATGACCGTGGCCGTGTATACCAAAATTTATTGTAAACCGATTCGGGTTTTTAAAACTACTGCCAGAACAGCTGTCCCTGGGTCACTCGCAAATTCTTTTCGGCGCTCTAGCTTACCGGCATCGAGGGGTCCATTATTGAATTAATTTATTTCTATGAATATGAAATGTTAATCTCCTTACACTGTTTCATATTATACCCGATATTCGAAACATTATTCGGTGATCATTAGATAGACACACAGTAGCATGAATGTACTATAGCACTGAGCATGTATACATGGATTAAACGCAGATATACATTTATTTACAGGAATTGTACAAGGTATCTTCAAACAGGTCTCGCAAGTAATCGTTGACATATGTAGTAAACACCATGTATAATTTCTAGAGATGATAATGTATTGACGAATGGCATTTTTAAAGTGAAGCGGATGGAGAGGTCCCGCGGGTCCCACGGTCGTGACCCTTAACGACAAAAGGACATTGACCAGCGTATAATCGAGGATCCGCTAGCCTTCGATGAGTATGTTATATATTTCGAATTTTTTTTCGTCGATATCAATGGATGGTCGTAGGAATGATCGTAGGAACCTCACGCGAGACCGGAGAATGAAGAAAAAACTTTCGAACGTTTACCGAAAAATATGGCTTCTTTATTACACATGTATTTCGATGTCGGTGTGTTAGTAATTCAATGATACAATTACATTCGTTTTGGTTCGTAAAAAATCGTAGACCTCTCCACTCTACTCGCTACTCTAGAAACTATTTTAATGCGAGCAATATTCACGATGATTACATGATTGTCAATTATCCTATAATTTTTAGAACTGGATCTTGTGTTTCGTACTACATTTTGAACATGCCTTATTGAAATGATGTTTCCATGAAAAAATTATCCAATCAAATTTTGACAAGTTTATGCGGCTTATATCGTTTGATAATGCTGAATATCCGTTTAGATTGCTTACTTTAATATTTCATTGATCTTGTTTTGCAATTAGATTTGTTGAAAAGAATATTTATGAGAAACCGATGCCTTTATACCGTGACTCGTGTGTATTGTGCACTTTCATATAAAAATTAGTGTATCAAATTGTCATGGAAGTTTCATTTATGAATATTATTGTCGATTGTTGTTCTGTAAAAGAAATGTAAAAAAATATTGCGAATTGAAACTTACATTCGAAGGAAGACGATAACTGTACTTGTTGCACTGTTTTATCGACGATTAGAGAGATTCGATGTGACCGATCTGAGAACCGGATCAACTGGTAATACCTTCGATCGAGCGGTTCCTTTATTACCGACAGCAATGACTGAATATTATCATCTAGAACTAACTTCTTTATCGATTATTACTTTTCTTTCGTTTTACTTTTCCTTTCGCGACGCGCTACAAATATCGAGTTAGGCGCCTAATTTAAAAAGAAATTGAGCTTGTACATGAACGTAAGTACGTAAACGATTGAGCGTAGCTATTATAAAATAACGCGGAGAACAGTCGATAAGAAGGTAAATATTCTTTCCTGTCCTCTGAAGACTTAGCGTACTTTACGAAAGATCGTTCCATTCCCGAGATGGGAAAGTGAAATCGATCGACCGATAATAAATATCCGACAGTCCTATTTATCTACGTTAGAGAGGTATGTATACTAACGAACATGAATGTTCCTTCGTAACGAAATGGTGCGCGATGAACGAAAACCAAACCACGTGATCGATATCTACTCATTCCACTTTCCTTGTCACAGTGATCTTCGCGTTTTTCTCGAATGCTTTGTTGGTTCGTTGCTTACTCTTGATGTAATTTTCGATATAGAATGATCCAAACATGTAGATAAATATCACCGAGTTGAGCATAAGTAAGAATGCCATAGATTTCGGGAAATTACATCCGTTGAAGAAGATTTGTAAGTTGTGAACGAAAATCATACAAAACTGAATCAACTGCAAAGAGGTTAAGTATTTCTTCCACCACAGGTATTTGTTCATGTGCGGTCCTATCGAAGATAGCATGTAGTATAGGTACATGATGATGTGAATGAAGGCATTGATGACGCCCAAAAACGTAGCATGGCCATTAGGCAGAAATCTGGTTCCGATCCAAGCGCATATGGGCATCAGAGCGTGGTGATATACATGAAGTCCAGAGATTTGGCGATTTTTTTTACGGAGGACAAAGAACACCGTATCCAACAGTTCTATTAATTTGCACATGAAATAAAAGTGTACAATGCTAGCCATCTGGAATTAAATTTATGAACGTAATTAATTTAATTTAATTAGTCATCAGTATTTATATGTCTATTTAACGAATTATAATCCTATTTGATTTATAGCGAGAAATACCCTTATAGCTTGTGGACTGTCCGAATAGTCGACGGGCTGACAGAAGTAATCGTAGTCGTACAGCCATCCACTCATCAGGCCTTCGTAAAGGAGGTACATGCTAAGCATTACTTGTATGAAGTTGTACACAATCAGAACGTTCCTTAAGTCGTACGGTTTTTTGTCTTTCATGTACCTTGGTCCAGCAGACACGGAAAAGTAGACATAACTGACGAGGATTATCATCAGTGGACCTGGCCCTGATGCCAAGAACCAATCCTTTGTCTTTGGATCTAGAATTATTTGACATGGTAATGCACGGTATTATCTACGTCGTTTATAGAGGTGTGGCTATTTCGAAGAACATAGCATGCTCGTAAAATCAGCCGAGCCTAAAAGTATCGGTGTTTCGACCTATGCAAGAATGATTTGAAATATTTACGGTGCGATAAAGCAATCGAATTCCTTCGTTGATATTGCTAACAAGGGTTTGTGAAAAATTAAAATTCTTTTGAAATAAATACGTATGTAACGATAGTAAATCGACGGTAAGTACAATAGTTGACGACCTAAATCGAAATGGAAAGTAATCAACAAATTTTCTCCTTTCAGTGCCTGACGTTACGCATTCATAAAGAACAGCTACCAGCTGTAGTTCTGAATGTACAACAATGGCTACATCAACGGTCTTATTTCGACATGGAACGGAGCTACCATTAAGGTACCATAATTTACGAGCACGCTATATTCTTCAGTCACACACACGTATCATGTATACAAATGTTTCTTACGATTTTTATTGTACATAAGGTCTTTATACCATTCCACGATGCCCGACATTGTCTCTGATTCCTAGTGATTGGACAAATCTGAAAGAAAGACAGCATGCCTTCCATTGATCTGGTTATCCTTGCATTGCAAAACAAACGATAAATTAAGCGGATTACTATAAACGCAAATAATCTTTATGCGGCTGACACTAATCCCGATGGTAAAGTGATTTATGAGAATTCCGTGTTGTTAGAGTATAATTGCCTTAGCAGGATTGCCACTTAGCAATCGAAGTCTGGTCGTCCCTGGAGCCAGTCGCAACACGTTCATCAATGAGCATCTTTGACGAACCTCATTGGATGGTGTCGCTAACAACCGCGTAATAACGAGGAAAAATTCCTTCGTTAGAAGCTAATAATAATACGAATAACCGCCGTTTTGAAGAGGACGCCGCTTTCGAAACGTTCGACCGAGGAATTCCGCTTACCAAACAAGCACCAGCTTCTTATATCTCACGTGTATAAATAATGATGCAAGAGGACACCAGCGAAAGGGAAACGTGGATAAGCAGCAGGAAGCTGAATTACTAGAATTGTGATAACCTCCTTCTTGTGTTTCATCCTCGGGAAGGAAAGAAGCAACAGAACGAAAGCACGTCCTTGGACCTCAGCCGAAGGCACTTGAATAGTCAAATTGTATTCGTGCTGTTCTCAATTATACGCTCAGCGATTGTCTGGAGAATGCAATCAGCGTGAGTATAACCAAGTTGTTATTCTTAAAAATATTTTTTTTTCATGTGTGTTTATGACCAAACATATCGGCAGAATATCATTATTCTATAAGTGATTTTCCGGGTAATTAACGAAACCTTTGTTACTCCGGATGCCGGTGACCTCGCGAAACGCACGATGACACTGCGTGATTTATTTGGTCAAGACTCAATTGGCTCTTTTTTGATCGATCATGTTGCAGAAAAAACTGTTCAAAGTTGAAGGACAGAGAACATTCGAAGAGTCGAGAAACAAACTTCCTTGTTTCAATCGAAATCCCGTGTCCGATTGGACACTGCCATGTAACACGGATTCGTAGATCATTCTAGATCGAGGCACGTGCCATTGGAACGCTATTACGAGCAACCGTTCATTCTGTCACAGACGAGAAAATTCCAATATTTCTATAACGTTATTCACACATTGCTTGGACCTTTATATAAAGAAAAAAACGGTGCAATTAGTCTAAGACTCTTTGCTCTGCATTGTTAATCGTAATATGAATAATTGCTCTACTAGATAGGGTACAATGTATCCAACTCTAATTGCGTCCATTGCATGCGATTAATCGAATATGATAAATTATATGCGAGACACGTATTCGTTGCGAAAAAGGAACCATAAATTGAATCGATAACAAATAATGATTGCAACACGGCAATAATTGCGAAATGCTGATACAGATGGCGATGTCGAAAGTGAACGAGATACGAAGCGGTCGAAATCACGGAACAAAGAATTGCTGGAGGTCACGATGAAGGAAGAGAAGACGGAACCGGTACTCTAGGTATAAAATATCGTCATGTGCAAGGGATGCAGTTTGATAGTTGGCTTACAACGTGCACACCGAAGGAGGGCAGGAACCTCTCTGGTGAATACCCGTTGCGAACCAAGGTGAACCGGATCGTTAATGCGCTGCTGTTTCTTCTGGACCCCTTTGCCCCAACTTCGGTCGTATACCAACGTTGGGACCCTCTCGTTATCTCCTCGTGTCCTTCAACGGTCAACCAAAAGACCTCGGCTAGCGTACAATGCTCCCAAGTTTGGGGCAACAACCAACGAATTTCTGAACCTTAAGATTCCATCTTCGCGTCTCTCTTTAAAATTCCTTCCTTGATAAATTTTTGGCTGCAGCTTCGAATTCGTGGAAAGTAAATTAACCATATGACAGAGGGAGTGTTTAACGCTGATTTTCCATTTCATCTTATCTCCTCGTGTTTTCAAACGCACGTCTTAAGATCCTCTGCTCGAGTACGATGCCCCCGAGCTTGGGACATCAACGATGGGATTTTTCCCACTTCGGATACTCGTTTCTCTCCTTAACGTTCCTTTCCTGATAAGGCTATGGCGAGCAGCTTCGACTTTGTAGGAATTAAAGCGCTACAGATCCAAATTCGAAATACGATCGAGCCATGTAACACAAAGCAGAGTGCATGCTTGAAGCTGATTTCCGCTTTCATAGGTTGTCAAATGGGAGACGTATGACATATCGTAGAAGACTCAGAAACGAAACGAGAGCACCGTTAGACACGGTAGTCTCGACAAATTCGTTTCGCAATCGCAACACTGTCGTTGGAAACTCGGTGAACAAGTCGTTTGGTTAAATTATTCATTCGCGGGCGTTGTCCTTTGAGTTCTTTGCGAAGTTCTTTTTGCTAACGGTCAAACGTTCGTATTTCTGTTGCAGATGAAAAGAGAAAAACCTAGGCCAGATCAACGTTCGTTCAGAAGTGGATGTAGCCCGGCCAGACTGGCGGAGATCTCGCAAAACGAGCGATACGAACGATTGCAGGACTTGGGATTAATTAGGATTGTCCCAGGAAAGATAGGGATACGAGACAGATACGATTCGTGCGTCAGGGTTCAAGGCAGGTGAATTATACTAAATGACTTTGCCGAGTGCGAGCGACTAAGTGCAGTCCCACGCTAATCCTTGAGTGAATGCTGAAGGAGGAAAATGTATCAAACCGGTTGCACAGTCAAATTCCTCACAAGTGAATGCGCACGGTGGAAAAGAAAATAATAAGTGTAATCAACACGTACGACGCAAAACACTCTGTCATTCATCATCATTACAACTTAAACGATTTATATCGGTTGTTTAATTATTGTTCGAACAACTTCACACAGAGAGGAATGCGTGACGTTACCGAATCGGTTCCCAATCACTGCACACGCGGAATCGATATGTAACGAGGAGAAAAACTGTCCATTTTTGCTTAAATATGCAGTTTAATTGGCGCTATACGCGAATATTATCAGAGACAGGAAATCGTTTCCGTTTCCTTTTCTCCCCACTTAACTTTGCTGCACCTTGAAACGATTTCATGACTCTTACGAATCCGTGAGAAACCGAAGTAACGAATAATCGCGAGAAAACATTCTGTCTGACATTTGTTGTCCCCCATACTTTCGAAGCTCGGGTCTCAAATACCGCGGTCATTGATATTTTAATACAGTCCTCGATTCAACCTACACGCATCATATTAACCTTTCGAAATATTAACCTTTATCCTATGGCAAAATGATTAGTTATTTACGCGTAATATCGTCGCCATCGTTGCAATACCCTCTCGCGTAGCGAAGAAAACGCTTCAACTTTCCTAGCCTCTTCACCTACGGTTTCGTCAATCCAACGTACATTCCTCGCGTGATTTTTCAATTTGCAAATTGATTACTCGACCCGACAAAGGCAACGAAATTACGAAAATGTGCTTTGCCAATATCAGCCGTCTTTGTCCTCTCGCAATCCCATTTTGCATAGAAAAATACGAGGCTCGTGAGCCATCGGCGATTCGTAAATACAGGCCTCGATTCATTCGGGAATCACGGTGACTCGAGTGGAAGGAATCCGCAACGAAAGCGATTTTGTCATGTAATAGCCAAAAATCTCTCCCCGTTTCATCTCCTCGCGATCTGCCGTTTTGTTATTGATGCGCGAAAAGGACGTGGCTCCGTGACCATGAGCGAAACCGACTCCAGCGGATGCAGCGATCGCGACAATGGAACGAAGGAGAACGCCTACATCGCCGAGATCGGTTATTTTTATTAGCTTATTTTTATTAGCGCGGTGCACGAAATTTTATTTTCTCTTTTTGCCATTTCCTGCACCTCGGAACCGCGCGAGGACAAACCGACCTCGACGAATTTGCCGTTCGCCGTTGCAACCACTTCGTAAACATTCCGAAGAATGCACGTTCCTCTTCTTCTCGTCGTAACGATTATAATCGGTGGTGGTAAAATCAATGGAAAATTCTAATCGAATTTATAGCGGTTCTGCAGGAAACTTTATCTGTCATCGACCGGTAGTCACAGTGCTTATTATGGATATGCAGATTAGATCGGCAAGAATCCGAGCTGGTAGCTAGCGACTAATTGGATTTAGATAACCGTTTATTAGCCCGATTAAGAAACATGGACAAATCTAAGAGATTGTCGAATAGGGATAGTTACTTGCAAGCAACGAACATTATCGATTGCAATTTTCAATGATTCGTTATATTTGCAAAATCGTGTGTACCGTTCGATTCTTTTCGCAACGGCAATATTTGCGGTGTAACGTCGCGAGGAATTCCTGTCCGCTCGCTTCTTATCGGGACGATTGCCATCGCGCCGACGGAAATGGAACCAGCGACGAAATCATGGGATTCCTCGCAGCGAATGGGAACGCGACTGGCGAAAAGCGGAACGTCCACTCGGAAATTTATACACGCGACCCGATCAATTTGCTCCGAGCGACGCGAAATTAATTCGCCAACGATATCGCGGAATCGCGATTAACGCGTCGATTGGTTAACGGATGGTCGCGGCTTTTGAAAGTATAATAAAATAAAGCGATTGGGTAATACTGGAGCATACGGTGCGTTCCATCGACGTTGCGATATACATAATTGCACACTCTCGATCTTCCCCAAGCGACCTACACTGCCAAACATTAACGCGCGAATAATTTGTTAATCAAACGACACTCGCGTTAATCCGCGACCGGAAGCTTTTTTGCGCGAGCTTCGCGATGCTCGTCGGACGCAAATTTTTAATTAAACCGCTTACGATTTTCCTGTTTACAAGGAACTCGACAGGGAAATTTGGCGTGTCTCGTGATTATCATACGATTTCAATATCTCGACGATTCCGAGGTATAATTAGTGCTAGCATTTGCGACGTTGGAAAATTCGTTATCCACGATTATCTTCTCTCCTCGATCGAGAAGCAGCATTAAGAGGAGCTATTAGTCAAACAAGTAGCATTCGAGTGGTTTCGTGTTCCCGTTGTTGCACATAGCCGCGTCTCACTGTTAATCCCTCGTCATTTTGTAACACTTGCAACGCGAATGCTCTTTCGTATAATTTATCGACTCGGGGTATCCTATCGCATCCTGCACGCATTGCGTCAGCACCTTGATCCCTGAATTATCTTGTCACTCTTGGTCTAGTAATTTTCTCCGGGGAGATATTAAATCGATGAAAATAAAGGATCTTCTCTTTTTCAGAAGTCAGACGGCTCTTGCCTCGGTCCGGTGCCTCAGTCCCGAAGAATGTTAATTAACAGGAGAGGGAAGGAAAGGAAAGGAAGAGGAAGAACAGAAAATCTCACGGCGAAATTAAAGCAAAAACCAAGGTTCATTCGATACGCCGCGAGTGCCGAGGTGCTCCAGAAAGCGCGAGGTAGATGGTGAAAAGGAAAGAGAGTCTCACCTGTTGCAATTGGTCGAACGTCGAGAAAGATCGTCGTCAGGTAGCTTATCCCAAGGAAAGAGAACCTCGCTGCCGAACGATCCACGGTGTAATTCACCTCGCGACTAGTCTTCCTGCGCGAACCTTTCCTCGTGCCGGCCCGCAAATCGAAGGACGCTCCACGCTAGGTACCGGTTGCTCGCGAGTAAAAAATGAGAAGAAGGTAGCCTTTGCCGGAGAGGGACGTCCGGCGAACGAAACTGATCGGGTGTTGCGGGTCCCAGGGCGAACGAGAGAAGCCGCGTGGTGCGTCCGAGGGAACTACTGTCGGAGTGGTAGCACTCGGTCCGTCTTCCAGCACGCACCACTGAAGAACTCTGATGCCAAGGTTGTCTCTCCCTTCAGCTCGGACACGAACGTTATCCTCCACGGTCTGACAACGCAAAGCTGTGCAGTCGTAGTCTTATATCCCTTCCAGCCAGGCTGGGTCGCGATTACGCTCAGCAATGGAGTCGATGTAGCCGATTTCCGAGCAAACACTCGTCCGTCACGCCGCTCCTCGCCGCATCTAGCCAATTAGCCTGCTCCACTCGCGTCGCGCGACGTCCAACTTTTCGACCCGCGTCCATCCTCCCCGCGCGTTTTCATTCTCTCCCTGGGAATTTCGCGATCATTCAACTTTCCACTTCCTCGGTTCACCTATGCTCCGCGAACAAGGAACGGATTAGCTCTGAACGCGAACGCGAATCCGTTCCATCGCTCGGCTAGTTGCAATTGCACCTGCGGTTGCCTTTGGCACCGCATTCGCCCGAAGATTCTGCAAGGGTTCAACATCTCACGGCTATGTCGTTACACCCTGTTGTGTCATTTCGTCTCACCCATAACGACATTCGACCAGTGTTACCTGCACACCGGGAGACTCGAGTCGGACCAGAAGCACGATCCACCTTTGATCCCGGGAGTCCTGCGTGGGAGAGAGACATAATATGACGAGAGACGATTAGCATAATCGATGGAAGAAAAAATGAGACCGATCTTGGTCAATGAGGACGATTAAACTTTTGATCCCGGGAGTCCTGCGTGGGAGAGAGACATAATATGACGAGAGACGATTAGCATAATCGGTGGAAGAAAAAATGAGACCGATCTTGGTCAATGAGGACGATTGTTTCATCGATTAACTGTTCGCTCAATGACGATCTTCGCGTTTGCTCTCGTTTCAAACGGACGAGGGATGCAGATGTACCCTTTCTTCTGTTGCGGCTCCATCGAGAAGTTATTTTTGAATTGGCGAGTCGGTTTGAGCGAGGGTTGGTCGATCAGGTAGCAGAGGGCTGGATGGACAGTCGAAGTTGGATAACGGGGGTTGTTCCAGGTGATCGAGCTAGGGAAGTTGAGCGCTCCGGATAACACGGGTCTAGGTCGGCTGTTCGCACTTGCATCGGCTCGAAGAGTGATCAATGGAACCGTGGTTAATTATAAATAGGATATTCTCGTGGACAAAAAATTGAATTCGTCGGGCACGTGCCTATGCGCGGAATGCGCGTTACGTAACTCGAATAATCCGCATTACATAGTTGCACGCCTGAGAAGAGGAACAGGAGGAACGAAGACAGCGAGAATTAGAATAATTTTCCACTGCGACAATGCGTCGATACAACGATTAATTGGCTGACAGAGAAAGTAAATTGTAGAGGAACGTAATGGGGTAGAAATCTGTAGTCGTCGATCAACGTGTCTAATTACCGTGTGTAGAAAATGTATAATAAGCGCGCATGCGATGAATACGAAATTAGGGGTCACCGGGTATTTTGTGAATTTTAATTCCAATTTCTCAATAGTTGCAGAGGAAGGACTAGTTAATGAACAATAGATTAAGAAAGAATAAAACAATAACGGATATTACTCTGTCGTATAAATAATTGTCGTAGAAGAAATAGCTAATGAATTATGAATTATTTTTTATGTTTAAATTCAGTATTATCGGATGTCGTTGATTCTGAATTAGGTACGTGATAGTTGAGAAAGTATGAATACAATATCACATTCTACCGTGTCGCGTGAATAAATATCGTGAAAGGTGATACTAATGAATTACTCTTTATGCATAAATTGGATTGCAATAGAAGTCGACGGCCCTGAACTAGGATCCCGTTGGAAACAAATTCAAGTGATCGGGTATTTGAAATTTTACCGTTCTTCGCGATGCATAATATCACTAATGTATTTGACCTTTGGCGATACTTTTTAATTCAGCTACCATTCTTGTCTCGGGTTACGAGAGAAAAACTCGGAATATTAACGAGGCGAAAAGAGAAAAGGGAAAAGGAAAATATACCAAGGGGTGGAATATTTCCCAGCTTTTCCTTGCGCTAGATAACCGTGATTTCACAAATTATCATGCGCCATATGACGATCTCGCGATATGATTTAGCAAATATTCACGTAGCCATCCTACTGTCCTAACCTGGAACTACGGATCCGGATAAATCCCAGCGTACAGGTATACCAAGTGAGGCAATGATCAATTATCTTATGGCTTTGCTTCTGTTGGATGAAAAGTATGGTCGATTTTCAGGAAAAATATGTGGGAACGAAAGTCTTCAGCATCGGAGACGCGTGCACGTGGATCGAGTGAAAGGACTGTTTATGCTAGAGTGCGAACGAAGAGCGAGTCTAGGAATGCACTTGAAGATTCGGGGTACATGGCGCCATAGGGGCGAAGTTGCGCGATGTGCGTACGAAGTGACTGATTCAGGAAGAGAGAACGAGTTCTAAAGTTGAAATAAGGCCACGAAGATGGGAGAACGGACAGTACAGGAGCTTCGACTCTTTTACGGGACAATTATGGCATTACTGCAACTAGACACCTTGCGCGGTACTTTCCATTTGAAATTAAATTAAGAACATAGTTTCACGTTCGACATTGCGCAGCGTTCGATACTGTGCTAAATTCGAATCCCATTCATTGATCGATGAAAGATTATAGATACGAATATTTTAAATATTCGCCAACTATTACGTGACTCACCTCGAAGCTGGATTTGTGATCTGAATTACCAGTTTTGTGCGTAAAAGCAGCTATCTTTTCATCAGCAGGTTTATGTGGTAGCAGAATAGAATAACTTATACGCAAAACAGGTAAGATAGTTCTCTTTTCACACCTCGGATTATTTTTTATTAATTTTTTATTCGTTGTTTCGCAATGACAAAGAGAAACGAAAAGACGTATGGTAGCAGCGCATAGTATGGAAATGAAGATGACACCTATAGACATAATCGAACATCGATTACCCCCCTCGTCGGATCATCGAAGGATCGAGGCATACGAACGCCACAGACGTCCGAGGGGGTACACGCGGGATAATGGACTTGATTTGCAAAAGTCCTGAGCAAACACGGAACAGCACTACGTTCGACTGGTTAGCTCAGCCATCGGTCTCTGAAAACCATGCTTTGCGTAAGACTTATCGGTTCTGGCACAGGACAAACATCCAAACCGACGAAATTGCAACGGCCAGCCTCGCTCAGCCTAATTGCGATACGACGATAGAATATGAGTTCGCGTGTACAAGTGCAATCATGCTTCGATCGTTCGTCGGAGATTTCCAATAGGGCTTTGATCGTCGATGAAAGAATTTCGAAATCCATCGATCACCTGATGGAGGGGCTGCAAGAATGCTTCGATAATGCTTCGATAATACTCTGATGGCGAAATTTTGCAATCGTCTTATTAGTTTTATCCGAAGAATACGCTTGAAGCTAGGATCGTGGAGCTTAGAGTACACACGCAAGCGATTTTCGTGTCTATAAGAGGATCCAGGTGAGTCGTAATTACTAGCATCGTGAAACTTCGTATTACCCTTCTCGCGACAGTCTCTTTATCCTAATGATCTCTGATTACAGGTTACCGATTACTCCGCTAGCTAACGACGAGGCACGCCAATTGTGTTTCGTACAGGAATCAAACACAAGGTGATTCGTTGACACCAAGCGCACACGCGTCCCTCCTCGGAGGATCGATGCAACGATCGCTGGCAGCCCGGCTGGTGATCAACGAGCTCTGCCTCTTCTTGTAAATCGATCTTTCTCCGAATAGTAATAGTTGCAGGGTTTAATCAGCGTTGCAGCCAGCTCTATCGGAAGTCCCAGGTCACATCGCTGCTAACGAACACCGGTACCAGTGTCATCATCCACGAAACGCCGTATCAATAGCGATACACCCTCGGGCGCTTGATGAAACTGGCTGCACCTTTGGAACGTCGGCATTATTCTACGAAAGAGACATTGCTCACACACGCTAAAAAAAGAAGTACGAATTACGAGAAGTCGTGAAAGGCTCAAGGATTACGACGACGACGACACCAGCCACCGCTGTGCCTCTGGGCTCTCATCGCTGTCCTGAATATCCTCCAAACTCCCGAGAGAGAACGCTGTCCAAAATGACAGCAATCGTGACCATCTTTCTGTCGTATAGGCCATAGTGGTTTCCTAGACTTCGGCTTCAGAGAATTCTAGCGAGCGATGATCGAAAGGCGGTCGTGTTCCAGTGAGCGAATGCGAGTAAGTACGCAACAGTTGGACGACGTTCTCCAGTAATGCGAGTCGAAATCGAAAGGGACGTACGATTCGCGAGTACTACGAGCAACTCGGACGAAGTCAGTAACCTGGATACGGATGCCGACCCTAATCTATTAGGCTACCTAGTAAATAACGTCGAATTCTTATAGTAAATAGCACCAATTATTTATTATAGATTCAAATAACTATTTTTGTTTATTTACAGGCACATGTAAACTAAAGGAATAAACAGGAAAACATGGAACGAAGGATATGTTTGTTCTAAATGAACCGATTACATGCATTTCACTCTAAAAATACCGATATCATGTTTCACCTAACTCGATAGGTAATTATCCTCATTTTTATTCGTCTTATTAGGTCAGTTTGCAGTCACAGTCGACCGACTTCTTCCAAGCCCCCTACAGTATCTGGAATCCCGTATACGGGAGATTCCAGTACGTTCCGTCTCCACGGTAGGTATCCACGCAGTGTTCACTTAATCGCGCAATTACACGAAATTACTGGTCGTCGATTACATCCGTTTTCGTTGGTTCTAGAGCCCAAGTTGCCGCGCGCTCACCGCGCGAGTCCTTCGCGTCCTCGAAGGCCTTCCGACTCCGCTTTTGTTGCACGCAATTCCTGTCTGTCCGTAACTATTTGCGGCGAGATGAATTTTACGAGAATTTTTTTTGTCTCTGCCTTTCTTTACATCTCCGTCCGGAGCGCCGATTTCAGCGAGTTACCAAGCTTTAGAACCTCGTTGTGCAGCTCATAAATCCGTCCCGACTAGATGTCTAACAGCGTTGACTGGCTGATAGAATCGCGGAAACGTGTGTATATAAGCATAATTGAATTCATTTGGAATTCAGTCGAGCCCAAAAGTGGGAGGTTTGACGACAGAGAGTCGAAAAATAACGCGAGACGGCGCGGACGTTGGCGACAATGCAAACGCGTTATGCAAAATGGCCGGCGAGTTTTGGATCTTTTTATTCCTACAACTGGATCTGCTTCAGAAATCGAGATGTATTTTCGCGAATCCCGCGGGATGGGTTGACGAGGAATG